ACATAGTTGGGATTGGGGCTGGCCCTGAGTTACAGTCTCATATAACTCATTTAAAAAATGATTTGGCGATGGGAGTGTATGACATGAATGCTATATCAAGAAAACTACTGAAAGAAAGAAAGAAACCAAACTTGACCAACAGTTACCATGGATGAAGTTGCTGTGTTTATGATTGGGTTTATGATAATGGTGGACTAGTTTGGAAAAGGATATCAATATGGTTGTACACCAGGAAGAGTATAATCAATGGCACTGAATTATACAAGTAGAAGTTGTGAAATTGGAGGATGTTTTGCTGTGTATATTTTTGCCACGATTTACAAAGAAAGACAATTACATAAATAGCGGTGAATACAACGAAGAAGAAAATGTTCTAGCATTGAATGTGGTGATAATTGTACAACTCTTCTTGGTATGATTGAATTACTGAATTGTATGACATGTGGATAAAGTGTTAAAAAGGTGGTTAAAAAAGATCAGTTCCAGGCCCAGGGACCCACAGGGGTGGTTCTACCCCGTCCTATAGGGTCCCAAGTCTGCATCGATGGCAGTGAGTGTTTTGAGTTTACTACTTGTTTACTTCCTCCTTCCCTCCCCCTTCCCCATGTCTGCTTCTCAGGCCCCAGCCCCTTGTCTTCTCCGGTGGCTTACTGTTACCTGGCTTTGCTCGTCTTGCTTCCGGTTGGTAAGCCTTGGTTCTGCCCTGGTTCCACACTTGCCCTGATTGTGGCGGACAGGTATCACTGAAACTGTCGCTTAAGCTCTGCTCTTAACTAACATCACCGGAGAAGATTTTTAACGGCTCAGAAGCCAAAGTTCTTGGTCTGCTTTCAAAAGGACACACACGACAGGGCTCTTTTTCTAACTGTGTCCTACCTGCAGGACTAGTGTCCTGGGGGGTTGAAGTTCAATAAATAACCTTCAGCCCTATAGCTCTCCTCCCTGCTTGCCAGCTTTCTGTCTCAGCGCCCCAGGCAGTGAGATGTGTTTACAGCTGCTCTGGAC